CTAAACCTTTAAGAATCAATAAATGAAATTATAACTTCTAGAAAGAGGTCAAATGAAAATTGAATCAAATCAACTTTTCAATAGTTGAGATCATGAGTCGATTGAAACTAGACCACTATAGAAAACATGAAAGCACTGTGCAGCCGTTTCGTTGTATTGTAGGATTCCTCATCAGTGCGCATCCACGACCCTACCACACGGGATTCGAACCCAGGATCTATCGGTCTCACGCGCAAGCGCTTAACCACTAAACCACTGAGCCGGAATCCAATGGCCCTGGGTTCGAATCTCGCGTTCAGGATCATGGATCTGCACTGCTGGCCAGTCCAACAATAGGACGAAACGGCAGTCCAGTACTTCCAGGTTTTCCACAGTGGTCTAGCTTCAATTGACTCATGATCTCAACTATTGAAATTACTATAATCTCCACAAAACGCCTTCTGATACAAATCAACTTTTATTTTATTGAAACTACAGGTAAATCTACAGAATACCTGATTATACATTGGTATTTATATTCCAATGGTTGAATTTAAAGCTGTTTGAAATCACACAGTTTTATATTCACATTATAATATTTTCATTTTGTTAACTTTGTATTTGAATAAACAAGAGGATAATAATATTATTAATAAGGTGATGCATACTAGTTAATCTATCTTAGCGATCAGAACGCTCATTAAAATGACTATAACTCATGATACTACCATAGAAATTACTTCGTTTTTACCTTCAGAATGAATAGATGATGAAGCATACATTGTATAAATGATTAAATTCCAAGAGATACTTGACTAATAAAACTAATTTGAGTGGATTTACTATTAAATACCCGATAAATTCTTGCTTCAGCTTTATACATTATCACTGTTTCCCATGAATTCCAATTTACAATCTCGTCGTTTATTTTGCTATTTACGGCATTACTTTACAAGATGTAAAAAATACACTAACTACAACCATTATCTGAATCCACACAACTTTCAGTAAATCAATTAACAGCTATGAATCAATATACTATTATGATTTGATTCTGTTTAACAAAAATGATCAATCATCAAATGACCTTTCTAGAATTGTGTTGTTAAAGACGATTAGTTTTCATATACGTTGGCACTTTAGTTAAAAGTAATTCTTTTCTCTAAGGTGACTCACTTTATCCTGAAGATTCTCATCGATATCTAGAAATCAAACTACTCAAAAATAACTTTTCAAGAAAGTAGACTATTTAAGAAGGTTACTTGACTTGCATTATGCTTACTCTGTAGTTCAGGTTTAGTTTTCTTTATTTTAAAAATATAATATGTACTCTACACTAATTTAAGTAAATAACACTTGTCTTGTATGTAGAAATAATTCATATAGGTTTAACGCTTAAACCGATGATAATTGATCGTACTTTTATCAATTAACAAACATAAACTTCCAATGTTATAGATGGAGTATAGAACATGACTCAGTGAGTTAATAATCGTTTGTAATTTCCATTCGAACTGGTGTTATACAATAAGTTATTCCTTCATGATACTCGGTTCAAGCTTATTCAAAATTTGACCATGATTCAATGCAAATAAAATCTATAAAGAAAAACATTTTATTAACACATAATTTTGATCTATTTTCTTTGTTCAATCTACATCTGTCTGACTTTTGTTCTCACATTTATTCAGTCTCATGTGTAATCTCTGAATAAGCAAACTTACAACTATTCAAAAGGTATACCATTGCGTATGGATTATCTAAGTAAACTAAGTCTCTCTCAACATTATATTTCTTTTCTGAAATCTAACGTAATCCCATTTACATAGTCGCCTCAACCGAAATTAAACTGTGAAAATAGAGTGTTTCATTTTAATTGTCATTTTTGTAAATAATCACTTGTAAAACGATCATTCGAGTATATAATATGATGTGTGCTACTGATATCGACAAATATGAGTAGTATGTATCATCAGTCGAAAAAGAAATACCTGGTGGCAGAAGGTTAAGAAGATCAAAGAAAAGAAAGCGAGAACAAGGAATGATTGGTGTGGAATTGAAAGAACAATGAAGTCTGAGACGATTGATTGACATTTTGCAAATGAAGTATTTATTATATAGTTCTCAGATTATACTAAGATGTTCTTTAGTTTTGTGTTCAAATATATTCCATTGTCCCCATATGTGTTTTCGTTCACTACAATACAACCCTTGGAAATACGATGTCTGGAACAATATACAACGATTTCACGTTTAACATGATTATTATTTGTTTTCTGTAGTTTTGCCGTTACTAAATGTTTAAACATACAAAACTAATCATCGATTGTTTAGAACAAAATGCATGTTTTATTTTACAATTGTCCATAAAAAAAATATTCAAAAGTACATATTACAAGAACTTCATATCAGATAATCAATAATGATTGTTTTATTTTTTTCAAGTTGACAAGCGTAATTACACTTTACTTAACACTAATTACAGTGAACTTCATTATACTTAATGTTTAGTTACCTATTCATGTGGATATATTTACAAAATATGTAGAATTTTCCTAAAACAATCTATAAAATTGACTTTTAATGTCTTATATAGTCTGAATAATATTTTTTACCACGGATCTATACATTTATGTAATGTATATCTCGTTAAAAGATAGTAGTGCGATACTGCAAAATAAAACTTTCAATATATATCTAAGCTACCCATTATCGGGAAAAACGATGATTATATTCATCAGCTGCAAAATCATAATTTACTGGTATGCTTTTTCATTCTTGCTAAGATCATTACAACATTACACACTACTGATGTCATATAAGTACAGACTTATGACTGTGAATTTTTTTAAGTTTTATAATGTGTGAATTCTTAATCATTTTTGGCAAATAAACTTTTTTTTTAACTTACATTAAGACAAGGATACTTAGCATTAGTGAGTAGATTGAAACAGCAGTGCACTTGAGGTTGTATATTTTTTAAAGAAACCGATTCCCGATAAGTTAAGTAAATTTCAAACAAAATTTGTAAGGTTTGGGATTTTCCAGTTTTTGTTATTAACGACTGCAATAGGTCAATCTTTACTGACTTAAATGCATTCTAAAAGAATGGATTAATACGTTCAGTAAATCATTTGGATTTCAAATAGCGATGGAATATGGGGAGGATAATTAGATCTATTTGGGACTTATCAGCCGGATGTACCTAGATTCTAGTGTTAATGTCTAAATATATTAAAAGCAAATTTACAAATATGAGGTAGCAACAAACATTGTAAGGAAGGAATTATCAAAAAGTGTGCAATGATGTTAAAACTCAAAACTCTGAGGAATTAAAACAATGAACACCACAAATTATTGACTAAAATATTTGACCATGAATGATAATTGTTTCGTGAACCAGTAAGTTCACAACTTCTTGGTTGGCTTGGGATAACATTTAATAATTCAAGGACTGATGTTACTTCATGTTTTCTACAAACTTTTGCCAACCTACTAGTCACCTGGTTACTAAGGCTTGTGAAGCATACGTGACATCTATCACGAAAACCTTAGTCGATAAAATATATCAACATCCTCAAAGTGTTTGCCACCATATACAGCAACAACATAGGTCACTCATTTGTTCCATGATAGATATCTAATATACCGAAGACACTGGAAATCAAATACTATCAACTTGCTCTTTACTCTTGCCTTCAAAAGTTATACTTTTCATCCATGCAATGATATAAACCTGAACTACTGCACAATGTTAGGCATATAAAGATTTCTATTGCGCCATCATCATAGCAGTATTGCCATTAAAAAAACTGCACAATTTCTCTTGGTATTGTTTGTTTGAATCTTCCCATTGATGTTTAAGATTACAATTGATTAGTCTCTTATTAGCATATGTGCATCCTGTGCATATTGCCTCGATATTTCCTTAATTCATAAGCGTTCTAAACAAAGATGGATGGTGGCTAGCAGTACAATCCAGATCGCACGTTTCATTTTATTTAGGACTCGTCAGTTGGATGTATCTGCATCCCAGAATTCATATTGACTACTTAACTTATTTACTTTTGAATAAATCTCTCCTTAGTTAGTTCTAATAAGAATTGGAAACTTCACATATAAAAACAAACTCAGTTTGATTAAGTAAATTGTTATCGAAAAGAATTTTTTGTTTGTTTATTTATTTCATAACATTTTTTTATGAATAAAATATCAAATAAAACCAAATGAGAATATGCAATATTGACAACAGTAAACTAATTTATTTATGAAAATTTAATATAAAAAAAAGTAAATAAATAAATAAATAAATAAAAATCAGTTTACCGAATTAAAAGAAACAATTTTATTCATTATTATTATTTGTATGTTACCAAGGGTTTTTCTCTTTTTTTTCTCTTTTTTATCACTTTTTCATTCAGTCAATTCATTTCATTCATTAAAAATTAATACTTTTAAAGAATTAAAATGAACAACATACCATCAAAACAACAATGTCAGTCTTATTCTCAACCTCATTATTACACTTAATAACAATATTAAATATTAAAAGTAAATTGAAATTTGTAAGTTTGTTTACTTTTTACTTTTCTATAAATAAATAAATAGAAATAACCAAAGTAAGCGAGAGAGAGTGTGTGTGTGTGTGTATGTGCAAAAGTGAACAAAAGATTATAAATACAAAAATAGCAACAAAGTTGATTGTATTTATCTTTGATTGTTAGGGTATGTATAGATTGAAATTTTTATTTTTTTTGTGGAGGAAGGGGGGGGCGGTTCAGTGTTATTGATGGAAATTTTCAGAACAAAAAAATGTAAATTTTATTAAATTTTTTTATTATTTTTAATACATAAATATTAAAATAAAAATATAATTGTGTCATTGAACACTTAAATGAATATGTTTTGAATTATTGCTAATACTGAGAATGTATTATGTATTTAGAATAACATATTTCACAGGTTGAAATCATGAGTCAGTTGAAGCTAGACAACAATTGAAAACCTGAAAGCACTGGACGGCCGTTTCGTCCTGGTGTGGGACTCCTCAGCAGTGCGCATCCAGGTTTTCAATGGTGGTCTAGCTTCAACTGACTCATGATTTCAACCTGTGAAATTTCTAAAACTCTCCACAAAACCCATTCTGATAATAACATATTTCTGTTTTTTTAATAAGAATATTGAAGTATTAGTGAAACTATAATTTATGGACAACCTTTGAGCAACGCTAAAAACAGCTCGAGAATGTCCATGTACATACTACGGTCAAATCAGCGTTATAAACCAATGTGAGGAATTATGATTAATATTTACAGTTGATAGTTAAGGTTAGGAATTAGATTTAGGGTTTTTATCACGAACTGGCATCACATGTAGTGCCGAAGTATTTATTCGGATGTAGAGAGAGTATTTTGTAATTTTCTTAAATAGTGTTATGATTTAAATCATCTCAATGATCATTGTTAATCATTATCTTTTATCTATGAACCAATTAAAATGCTTACAACTGTTTACAAGTTGATTGAGTTGACCAAACTAAATATGTAAAATAACGTATAGTGATTGTTCTGAAAAATGAATGAGGATAAGTAATATCATCTGAAGAAAGATTTAAATCAAGGAAATAATAAGAATAAGTGACTATAGAATTTAATATACTTATAATCTCCAGAACTTGTAGCAGACAAAATATCAGTAAAAATCATTGAGTTAAAACTCTTTACGTCAGGTTTTGAAATTTATTTTCCCAATATATTAAAGTTTACCTAGAATTCTACTACTTGAAGTGTAATAACTGAAAATAATCAAGTTGTTAGCACAGTTCCACTTTTTTGTTCATTCAACCCCAAGACGTTGGTAATAATTGATTATTCTAGAGATAATATACAGTTCCGAAGATTGTTGTTTTATAATTCATTATCTTGATAATGACGCTAATTCAGTTTAATATCTACGTGGGTTGCTGAAACGTCTGTGACGTTTACGTATCATACATGTATCATGCTGATTTTAAACTTATTATTGTATATATTTATTTAATCTGACTAACCTTGAATCAGAAGCTAAATTTGAACGTCCTTAAAGTAATTATGGGCAGATTTGAATGATGGCCAGTAGTGCAATACTTTACACACTTCCCATCCTGATTGAGATTCGTCAATTGAATGCACCTGAATCATAAAGTAAATGTTCATTTTTGGTCTCAACCCAATACAACTCACTTCAAACGCCATCACGTTACCCACCTCTTTATTGAGTTCAGATAGCCACTGACCAGTACAATAGAGTGAATTTTAGTTCATTTGTATTGATTTTTTGAATATTTTTATTGGTGTTTAAGACTATAATCGTTTGATCAGTTTCTCTAATTCATTGCTATCCTAAACAATAATTACAAATTGTTGTTTAATATAACTTAAAAAGGAAGTCGAATTTGAAAAAAATACTTCGCATATCCCTTCATTGATGTTCCTTTCTTCACCTAAGTTGATTTAGCATTAAAGTTATAGTCATTGTATTTAAAACATTTAACATAGTAAAGAACATATATTTATCTATTACATTTTCAGAAAAGCATTTTAAAATGAACTCTATCAATTGCAGCTAACGAAACTGTGTTTTCTTTGTCACGACCACAACTATTTCATAAAAAAAACTAAACAACTCCAGTTATCAATCATAGTCTTAGAAGATATTGTCACCATCGAAAAATTCCCTGAATAACTCATGAATTATGTTCAAGAATTCAAACATAATATTTTATAAATTCATTCAGATGTTGGAAACAAATGTCAATATTCAAAACAAAATCTAGTTTATGTCTAATATATTATTATAGTAATGTATGTATACAAAAATAACTATTGAATTGTAAACAAACACTCTAATTACGTGTTCAAAACCTTCAGCTATCAAATATTAGTTTCAATCATCAGATTTTCTTAAACTTACACTTATGTTATTTCTAATTTTTTCCTGCATTGCTTTCATTATTAAATGTAACTCCACCTGTAGGTGTTCTAGATTTACTGACGGTCCCAAGTCCATGTAAAGAAGGAAGGTTGGATATGGGGTTAGCGACCCCATGCCGTAGAAAACCAACTCGCTAAAAAAACGTTAATCAGAAAGAAAATTAAATGCAAGTACATTTTTTGTACTTACTGAATTCTCAGCTCACTTTTTCCCTAGTTCTTTTCTTTTCTAGATTTTTTCATACATTGCTCTTCATACACCCTCAATACATAAGTTAAATTCATTCAGACACTAAAAACAAATGTCAATATTCAAAACAAAATCTAGTTTATCTCTAATAAATAATTATAGTAATTGGTTTGTTATTGTCTCAAACATTGTACATACATATATATACAAAGATAACTAACTATTAAATTGCAAAACGTCACTCTGATTACATAATCTATATTTATCTAGTTTAAAGTTAAATGCAACAAATCAGATTGAAATGAGTCGAAAAAATCATGTTTAATCATAATCTAAATCAACTTTGTTTCTTTTTTGTTTTAGCTTGATATTTATTCAGACAGCTGTTCACATAACGATTCTATTCGGTAACTAGACACATTTTAAATAATAATAATGTACTGTACTAAATCTAATTTACACTAGTGAATAAGGTGGAATGAAAGAAATCCAATTAAATTTATGTTGATTTCTTTTGTTTATACTTGTAAAATGTTTTTTGTTGTTGTTGTGTATACTTTATTGTGATTATTATCTTTTAAATAACTCACATCAATTACAATCTAATCCCTTTAAGCTAGTGTTGTTGTTGTTGTTTGTTTGTTTTTCAAATTCATCTACGTTTTCATTCTAATCTTGTTTTGAATAGTTTGAAATGTACTAATGAACTGACTATAGAAGAATAAATGTACGGAATGATTTTTATATTTCTATAAGTAAGCATGGAATTTATAAATAATGATTAATACAAACAAAACTATGCATATACATGTCACTTCAAGACAATTTGAATGATTTATGTTTTCAGTAGTTTTGGAAATTACAAATATTATCTGAGATTAAGATTCTTTTAAGAACATATTTAAAATGGTGAAGAGAATTTTTACAAGAGTATATACAGATAAACTGTGAGTAATCTGTAATGATCTGTACAATGTGTTGTTAAATCCATTACAAGAATTATTACTAGTCCTATTCATCCCGTTTGTATATTTTTGATAGGTAAATTACATAAGATATTTCATTCTAATATATTTTGGTTGTGGCTAAAAGTAGGATACAAAAACTCATCAGCTGCATGTACGTACATCTTCATGTTAATGTCTTTATATTCCACTGTTAGCTGAAATCCAAATAAAATTAAAACTTCAAACTAAAAAGGAACTATTTATTAATTTAATCATGATGCAGGTATGTTAATAAAAACTGAGCAATTCAAGTCATTCATAACAACAACTTGTAGTCTGAACCCTCAAAGGTATTATATTTTGAAGCCTTTATAATCTTTTTGATGAACATGTTTAGTGTAGAAAGTTGATTCTTAACAACAAGGTTTTAAAATGAAGATGGTCAATCGGGAAAATAAATACTCTTATTTCATTCAAGGACTTGAAACAGTAATATAAAGAATAAAACAAGGAATTTATTTTATCAACTTCAATATCTCACTGTAAAAGTATTTTTCACAACCAGATCTTAAAAATAAATAGATTGTGAAAAAAAGCACTACTAACTAATCATCTGTACTACATTCTTTTGAAACTTATTGTTTAAGTTTATCGTAGAAATTCATTTTAACTTTCAATGATGACGCTTAATCATGAATTGTTAGATATATGAAACTCTTAACTTTCACATCACATTTACAACATATACAAAAACAAGGGATCTGTTAAATAGGTTAGTGTTAAGGTTCCTGTTGTACACTGTTAGAACGTAAAATGTAAACTATCGTTGCATTGATTATGCTATAATATATTAGCAAATTATTAGCTAAAAGAATTTCATATATTAAGTCTTCCATAGTCTCCAATAAACAATCTAAAGAAAAAATCTCAAGATAAAAAAAGCACTTAATAATCACATGTTCCTATCCATTTAAGTGATCTGTAAGATCAATATACTGGTTTGTAAAATAGTATTTTCTGGTGAAACAATGAAGTTAAGATACCTTTCATTGCTTATAGAAACATCAGTATGGCGAGACTCTAATTTATGGACGACCTTTGAACGAATCACAAATGACCTTGATAAATATTAGCCAATCAGCAAACAGTCAGTATAGAGTAAAAATATGTTATACAAAACCAAGGAAATAAAGTGGATACACTTCTTATACGTGGTTCAAAAACTTGTCAAGGTTAGAAGGAGGTTCAGAGGTTCTAAAATCGTAATGCATGCAGTGGAGGAAATCATCCATACGGCTACAAAATAGTCGGCCTCTGGAGCCATGATAAAGTCTCAAAAACTCTTTAGGTCTCGACCACATAGCTTCAATATCGTTGATGTGCACTCCGGTTGTTGAGTGCACAAAATGCGACTTGTGGATAACGACACGATGCATATAACCAAGCCTATGTAGGAGTCTGTACACTCTCCAAACATCCGTATATATTGTAGTACCTGGCTGCAGTCAGTGTTACTGGTGCTTTTATTATTCAGTTCGCGATAATTGTCGTGATTTGCATTAGTTAGGAATTGTATATGGGGTTTTCATCACGAACTGACATCAGCTATAATGCTAGAAATTTATTTAGCCAAATGGATGAAAGACTTTCGCGCAAAAATCCGAGATCTATTATTCTGTACCTGATTGATTCGTCCACAAATTATAGTCCCGCCATTTTATTTGTTATAGCCGCTCACTTATCACGTTTTGTACAAAATTCCCTGTGAACCGATCGTACGTTAGCACTGAAGTTGGTGCTGTAATTTTGAAATCTCTAAAACACCTCTGATTGTCTCGTTCATAAATTAGAGTCTCACCGTGCCATGAATGATATTAATTTATAAATGTCGTTAAATCTGATTATTTATGGTTTCAATATAAAGGAAGGAAATTTAAATTTTCGTGACTTAAATACCATGTTTTTCCTTAAAATAACTTTACTGCTCAATTTCTATAAAACAAAATTCAAATCACATTAATAGACATTTGTGTTTTTGTTATACTGTCATTCACAACATTAAAAGTTTTTTTTAATCTCATTTAATTGTTTCACACTAGATAATCTGTGACCCAGCAATGACCCTAAACATCAAACAATACAACTTTATTAAATAAATAATCATTTAAAGGTGAAAGAAAAAATTGTTTTTTTTTCTTTAAATTCTGAAGGACTTCCTTCCCTTTAGTTGTTCTCTATTTTATTTTTAGAAATTTTCACCTCATTCTAGTTTCAGTTATTGAGAATTATTAATTGCAGTTCTTTCAATTCGATATTATATTCTTTATAAAGTTTTGTCTTTTCTTATCCTTTTTTTAAAAAATTGTTATCTCTTTATGTAATAATTTCAATCCTCTGTTTCATATGAATCAATTCGAAGTTCATTTCATAGTGAGTTTTATTATGTAATTAATATTAGTCGGAGAGAATTACGCTGATCCATTAATATACGATGACTAATTCTGGGAAAGTAAATGCAGAAACTTTTACTATAAAGTTAGTTATTACTTATGATAACTTACAATGAGTGACCGAGTAACAAATGTTAAAGTTAGACATAGCATATTAAGCAAAGATAAAAAAAATTGGTTGATCAAGTTATGAATCTTTAGTCATCGAAATGATTTGGATATGTATTATGTATACTCAATTAACTCCTATCTCAATGGCCAATATTTTGTGGTTTAGAAGTAGGATAGAAGACAGCCAGAGATAGTAAAATCAGAAATGATCTTAAGTTCATTTTAGTCCATTGACTGTGAACTTGAATCATTGTGGTAGAGCTGGATTACCTGGTTAGAATCTGTGCAATAACCACAACCAGTGGTTGGTGACTTTAGGTTATATGACTTAGAATTGGCCACAATAAGAGAGACTCATTTTTTCCAATTCCAGATAGCCTTCGTATATAAATTTTTATTTTGTTTTTCTATAACATATTGTCAATATGAAGTCTTTTTCTCATCATTATTGTTAATACATTATATAAATTCCTTGCTATTCATTTTGTTAATTTCATCTTTTGATGTAACTATAATATGGAAACTTAGTAATAGTCTCTGTTTTTAATTATGACTGAATGAATGAAAAGAAATTCAACTGATGAAATAGTTTAGTTTTCCAAATATTCTCAATCGATTTAAGTAGTATACAATGGTTACTATCTGCTGACTCAGTATTTTTTTAAAAAAACTTTTAATGATATCTGTAAATCTTCCATTTCATTTTCACATAGTTCTCTTTAAAAATTCTACTTCAAACTGTCTATGGTAAAAATAACAACTTCCTAGTTGGTCACACAGAACTCATTTATTCCTGCAAAAACTAAAATAAAAATTTACTTTATATACAAGTTACATCTGTGATGTTTGGTAAAAGAAATAATGAAATTAACCAGACAGATCGTTAATAAAAAGAAAAATAATACTCTAATTTACAACACTAACATTCCAGCTGTTTGTTAAAAAAGAAGAGACTTTTTTTTCCATATATAACAACCATAAGTTTTAATATAAACTAACTTGATAACCGTGACATAATGGGAGGTTGAATAATAAAAAAAACAGGACTACAATTCGTTATTTAGTATACTATTTATATATTGGCATTATGGTAAGAATAAAACAGTTAAAAGTAATAAATTACCACATAATATTATATGGTTTCATTCTGCATATCAGTAGCGATGTTAATGAACTATGCCTTAGGTGACCTTTAAAAAGTAATGTAAAATTGTAGTCAGTCAAAATGCAGATGACATAAATGAATAATTTATTGAATGAAATCTAAAAATTGTTTATGGTAATAGTTACGGTTGAAATTGAAGGTTAAGATTAAAAGTCTTCATTATGATTAGGATTTAGAGTCAGGGATTACTAGTGTTGGTTAAAATTGATATAGGAAGAGGACTGTTTAATTTCAAATAACAAACATTTTTAGATTATTTTCAAAAATACGT